AGTGCCTATGAAACTAAGGCAAAGATCACATACATATCTAAAAACAAAGTCCCTTGCTGGATCTCTAACAGCTGGTTCACAAAATAACCTCTTCAAGCTTCTTGACAACTGAAGTGTGGAAAACTTTCATCAAATCAGTTCAAGAAGTCAGCTTCGGATTAGCTTTGATGTAACTCTTTCATCACGAAGAAGCATGGCTCGTAAGCTTCGTTACAAAAAAATCAATCTTCATTTTTTCTTTATAAAGATTGTGAGACTAACAACTTTCCCATAATTCCAAACTTTTTGACTATCATAAACATTCAATAATGACTGTCATTCCATGATACCATATGTTTGATATACCAATAGTAATCATAGACATGAGATTGAGTTAATCCTTAAGGGTCCATGTGAAGCAAGAAATCTTTAATAAGATTGATAGAATCCTTAACCTCTTTTATGTTGCTTTGAACCTTAGAAATCTAGTGTCTTTGCCGCACAACAACATCATCAAAAGTCTCTTCTTCATCATCATATAGCCATCATCACTATCATCATTAACACCATACTCCTTATCAGGATCAATATCTTGCTCACTTGCTATCTTTAAAAGAACATGCTGCTCCAATACCGATGAAACAAATAAGAGTGAACCCTCATTATAGTTTTAAATCCCACAGGCCATAGAATATTCTTAGAATAATCCTGTGGTTTGTGTTAGAATGGAGGCAGCTGAATTCCCTTGAGGCAATGGTGGCAGAGGAAGCGGCAGTGGGGCAGTTGAATTCCCTTGAGGCAGTGGTGGAGGAGGCAGAGGTGGTGGTGGCGGTGGCAGCTTTGCAGTAAAACTTGGAAGCTCGAACAGAAGTGGTGGAGGAGGCGGAGGAGGGGGATGACCAGCAACAGAAACTACTGGTGGTGGTGGTGGTGGTGGTGGTGGAGCAGGAGGTGGAGACTGCAAAATAGCCAACCTCCGAGGTGGTGGAGTGGTGAAGGAGTACCTGGTGCGAAGCTAGGGTTAAACGATAACGTTGGACTTGTCCACCGTGACACCCCTAACTGACAATCAAAACGGGCGATGATGGAGGAGGTGGTGGTACTGGAAATAAGTGTTCACTCGTCATCCGCTGCCGCTAGTGCTGCTCTATCCATTGGAAGTCTCCTGTCCTCAAACCCATTGCCAACCGTGGTCAGCTGCTGTCTCTGCCACCGTCTAACCAGTCCCCGCAACTGAAGAGCTCCTGGACCTTGGCAAAAGCTTCCATCGGCAAGCCACCTTTCTCTTCCATCAGCGCACAGGCGCTACAGGGGACGAAAATCCATCCGTCTCGCGAAAAGAGAAGATTGATTTTGCCAAGATTGGTTCAGCTTTGCTTGCTTACCTCTGGTCGGGAGTCCTTGGAGAAGCACTCCTTCCCGTTCCAGAGTATGTCAATGTCGTCCCGGTTGAGCATCAGGATGTTGGAGCGGATGAACGCAGTGTTAAACATGACCCAGAACATCATCTCCTCCCGGTCTGACTCCAAGTCCAAGTGGATGCACTCGAGAACCACACCCCCTTGCACGGCACACTGTACATCGATCTTCATCACATCACAATCTGTCTGGAAGCTGGAACACACAAGAGCATTACTGACCAAAGCAAAAGAAAACAAGCTCACCACCTTACCGGTCGATAATGCCACAGACTTGCTCTTCTTTCCCAAGGCAAAGAGCATCCTCATCTTCCTGTTCAACGCTTTCGATCGGGGATCTCTTCCATAAATGCGGCCCCTCGTCCGGATCGAAAGCTGGCACCACTTTGAGGATGAGGCAGTCGAGGCTGAGCGAGCGATCCGGGAGTGGCCACTCCGGAGTGTTGTTCCTTCTAGCAACGTACTGGAGATATCTCAGCTGCCATCGGATTGGGAGGAGTGAGCAGCTGCATCAATCCCTTTGGAGCCTCCCGATGGAGCATATCGAGCGTCTTGAATTCGCCCGTGTACATCTTCCTGTAGATGAGAAAGCTGGCGAGAATGAACGCCAGCAGCAGCCATCCCCCCCTCTCGCAGTGCACCAGCTGCCTCTCCTCACAGCCGTCGGACCACATATAGATCAAACGGTCCAATTAAACAACCATTCCTCCCGTTAAAAATGGCCACATCATCCAGGGACTCTTTGGCTTTGCACTGAGTCTTTGCTAGGGACGCTTTGATTTGAGCGGTGATGGAGAATCGCGGTCTTCTCTCCAAGAAGGAGAGATGGAAGCGGCGCTCTACGGAATGCCAGCATTCTAGGGCAAGGCGCTGGATCGCGAGCTGGCCTCTTCCGGCATTCCAAGCCCTGCTACATTTTCTCCTCGGGACCGTCGCCTTCTTCCTCACCTTGGCGGCCAGCGAGAATGTAGGTTGAGTTGAGGCGCTCACGCTCGATCTCGCAGGATTTCGCCGGTGTCTGGCCGATTTTCGACGCGGCACACTCTTGCGACTAATACGCATGCTTTCGCTGTGTTTCCGGTTCGTGTTAGAGTCCTCAAAGGGATGGAAATTCCTTTCTTTGCAGATTGTCCAGGGTCTTATCAACGAGCTAGAGGCTCAAGGGGCTTTACCTCGGAGTAGCTCTCGGGTTTCCTCGCTAGCTACATGCTGTGGTCAGAGGTGGGTCTTGTTTTGCCTCCGTGGTTCCTATGATTGAATTTTTTTCGTTTTTCCTTCTCTAGATTTGTGGAGCTATTATGGCAGCTCTCGGCCCACGCTCTGCGAGAAGTTCATCGACGGAACTTCCCAGCGGATGTTGCCGAGAACCCCTTGCCAGCGTCGTTCACGGAATTCATCACGCAAAATTCACATGCATCAGCTCTCCTTGCCGTGACAAAGGTGGAGTGTTCATTGATAGATTGTTGGAACTTGCGTGTTTTTGCAGGCACGTATTGCTCTAGAGCGTAGGCGTTTCCTGCAAGGTGCGTCTGCGGCCATGCATAAACAAGCGTTGTGGTCCAGTCTAGCTCATGACATGAGATCCATGGTGGCAGCGAGAGCATAGTCCCCTCTCATGGAAACAAAGTACCCGTGACCATCGTGGAGCAGCCCGGCAGCGCTACACGCAGCAAGAATGGTGGTGAAGCTGACAACGTCCAGTTCTAGTCCTTGAAGCTCAGTCAACTCAAACAGCTCGCAAGCTCGTCGGCCATGTCCGTTTCGAGCAAAGGTCGCCACTGTGGTCGTGCAGACCATCAAACTCCACTCCCCCGTCCTGCGAGAAGATCTCCGCCGCGCTCGACACATCTCCGCATTTTCCATACATGTTGATGGCGGCTGCTCCAGCAGTGACATCGAACTTCTCGCCGCTCGAAGAGACAGCACTGCCGTCCGAGAGAGCTGTGAAGGCCGCGCACGCATCGAAGATGCAAGCCAGAGCGACACCGTCCATTCCCAGGCCGGCCAAGTCCATGAGCTTGAAAGCTTTCAGCGCCTCGATTACACTGAACGGAGGCTTATTTACATCAAGAGCTGGAGAAAATGCAGGAGCTTTAAAGTTCTAGAGCATTTGCAAATCAAAAATTACTGTCAGCGTCTCGAGCTACAACGCATTGGGAGTCTCTTCTAAAACATACTGGTCAGTTCGTAATTCTTGGATTTTTTTATGTTCTTATTTTTGTCTGATTTTGTGTTGATTGTAGAGAGGCACGACAAACTAGCAAGCGGCCCTATAGAAGACTTGATTGCTCATCGTGACCACAGGTGTTTAATCTTTTGGTTCCTGGATTTTGTTTGACGCTGTGCTTATAGATGGATCGGCTTTGCGTGTGACCATCCACCGAGGGATGAATGTCATTCCAAGTTCGTGAGCTCCAATGACGAGGACTGCAATCGGCAACTAGAAAAGCAGGAGAGTGACGACGAAGCCAGAACAGACAGGGCAGTTAAAGGGTCGAGCCCGCTTGATGTTGCTGAAGTTATTAGACGGTGGACCCATGCTTTGCAACGCATACACAAACAAGCTCAAAAGCTGGTAAAAACTTTAGCTGTGTCTAACTTGCTTACATGACTGGAATTGTCGTACAGTCACGAAGGCACTTCCTAATCTTATAAATGCGGTGGATGCTTGTGAGGGACACACAAGCATTACGGGCAACGTTAGCGGAGCAAAAACAACACATCTCAAATATGCAGGTATTAGATTCTTCTTGCGGTTATTTGTTTGTTTAAAAAGGACTTATTCTTCAGGTGCTCATTTCGCAGCTAAAGGAAACCACTCCAGGAATGGAAGCAAACATTAACAAAGTCCGTCAACATGTCAATCACTCTGCGGTTTCTTCTGCCTCTCAAGCTGTTTTCGCTGGGTATAGCGTGTATTCTGACTCTGCACTTTCCTCTCAAGTACGTGACCACCTTGTTTGAGCCATGTTCTGACTAGCTTTAGCAGGACGTGACTTCGGACTGTGTTGCTGACGATAGAGGCACTCCTGGACCTCTAGAACTGGCACCTCCAAGCCCGACACTAAAGCTTCCTCAGCTGCCAACACTGTTTTCGCCGTTTTCTCTTTTGCACAAAGGTGGTGACGACGATGATTTGGACCTCCGCCCGTCTTCACTGGCTTTCTCTGACCACAAGGACTACGAAGGTATTCTAAAATGCAATGTCTTATATATCGACTATGCCGGCTTTTATATTCCAGATGATTTCAAAGAATTGTGGCAAGCAGTTCACGAAGCCGCACTCTCAAAGCCTGTTGAGGCTGCGACTGAGAACACCAGCACCAGTAACACGACCTCAGAGCACTATTTCACGCCTTTGACTGTACAAAAGGAAAGCGTCAATCCAACAAGCACTGTGGTTTCCAGGACCAGGACGACGACTTGGTAGGTGCGTTTTACACTCTGTTTCTTTTCTGTCGTGATTTCACTCTGGGCATTTTATGATTCCAATCCAGCTCCGGCAGCCACATCAACATCGCCATGAGTTTTGCAGCTGCTCAACACAGTCACCCACGAGACTCCATCAGGCTCAAAAGGAATGGTTGTCAGCAAAGCTAGGCCCTAGTCAACTCGGCCAGATCTTGCTAGCAGATCGATCACGCAAACGTAGTGATCCATGGTGGCAGCGAGAGCATAGTCCCCTCTCATGGAAACAAAGTACCCGCGACCATCGTGGAGCAGCCCGGCAGCGCTGCACGCAGCAAGAATGGTGGTGAAGCTGACAACGTCCAGTTCTAGTCCTTGACTCTCAGTCAACTCAAACAGCTCGTGAGCTCGTCGGCCATGTCCGTTTCGAGCAAAGCCCGCCACCATGGTCGTGCAGAGCACCAAACTCCACTCCCAGGCTCGGTACTGCGAGAAGATCTCCGCCGCGCTCGACACACTGGCCGGGGCTCAAAAAAACCGGAGAGCGATTGAGAGCTTCCACAAGATGGTTCTAGAAGGTCGAAGCTCGTCTTCGATGCCTTGCCGGAGAAGAGCCTCGTGTCGTGGACGTCGATTGTCCAGCTATGCCGACCACCAGTGCTCTTCTCGAAGGACTCGCAAGCGTCTTCCAAGCTGTGGCATTTCCCATACATGTTGATGGCTCAAGTCTGCGTCCGAGCAGAGATCAAGCGAGAGCTCCAGTTCTTCGTGAAGCAGCCTTCCATGGCGGGGATCACCAGTCGAGGATGGTGATCCACGCGGTTTGGAGGCTAGCCTTCCAAGTCCATCCGCTTGATCAGGCTCAGAGCTCGAGAGAAGCTCCCGTGGCGAGCGTAGGCCGCGATCATCTCGGAGCTCTCCTCCGGCTCGCAGTTCAAACGTCCTGCGACCTCCCCGTTGGATCCCAGCCCCGCCAGCATTGAGTTCCAAGAGATGATCGCGGCCTCCACTCGGGCATTCGATCAAAGACGCTCTTGGCCTGCTGGAGGTGATGAAGATATCGAGGATCGCCTTCGCCAGTATGCTGCTGCTGGATCGCGTCGTCCACAAGACAGCCCTAGAAACAGAGGCAGACATTTAGCATCTCAAACCCTAACTCGCAGAGCTTTGATAATATAAGCCACGGCGACAGCCACGTTTTGCTTACGTGTCTGCCCAGCTCATCACTTGCCCGCCCAAAGATTTTAAACTTCGGGGTTCCTTATAGCTTTAGGGTTCTACCTTGGAAGCTCCTGGCTTTCATCGACGCGCCGCGATCGACCGGTAAATCGCAGCTTTGATCAATCGCTGGATGATATTTCGGGGCAAAATTCAGAGGACGACACCAAGTGTAGCTCCGATCGGCAGCGACAGCGCCAATGCATCGATCCAAGGTTTTCCAGGCCATGATTCATCGTCAGTGACATATTTCGTGCCTATTTCAGATGAATCCTGGCGCATTGCCGCCGTCGACACGCCACGATCCAGCTCAAGGCAAGGTAACAGGCTCGGACTGGTTAATCGAGGCTCAGACCCGGTTCTTGGTGAATTTTCACAGGAGATCTTTGGGTCTGTTGCTGCTCCTGCACTCTTGGGACCTCTCTTCGGCCCTTCTCTGGCTCAAAAGCCACCATCTGGCCATGGAGGGCATACACCGGAGACAAACTCCCTCAGTATAGCGATGGCGTTGTTTGTTGCTGTCTCCATTTTGGCGGTCGTGGCCACGCTTTTCTTCCAACGCGTGCGCCAGAGGCAGGACGAGGCAACCGAAAGGAGGCAGAGGAGGATCAATGATTTCTTCATAGCAGCACACACCGATGTAGGTGCTGAGACTCTCGCTGCCAGTGGACGAGTTCTAGGCCTCAGTCTCTCAATGGCCGTGAAGGTATGAGCTCAATCATTTTTACTTATCAAACATTTGTAAATGTTCTTAGCTGGAAGTCATCTGGATCGTATTACTAAATGCTGCTCCGGATCCGGCATGGGATTATGCCCCCCTTTTCAATGCGCTTGCCACTGATGATCGAGGATGGAGAGAAGTAAGTCTTCTTACTCAAAACTGGTTCTCTACGTGAACTAAAATAATTCTCTATGTCGCAGGCTTTAACGGCATCTTTTAAACGTTTTTTTAGAGAAATGCGAAATGGCTTCTTACCTGTAGACTATGAGGTGGATATTTCAGAAAGGTCTTGCATGGCTTCTTACCTGTGGACTTTCAGGTGGCTATTTTCTTCACCGTGATATTCCGGCATAGTACAGGACTCTTCAGCCTCGGTATCACTCTTCCCACTGACGCTCACGTCAATTTCTACGATTTCGCGAAGTTCTTCTTCCGAACACTATCTCACGATGGCGAGTACTGCTTGAATCTGGATTACTCGTTCTTTTCAGCGCCCCCCAACCAAATCTACACGGATTTCGTGAGTGATGTCTATGATGCGGCACCCTGGCTCGATTCACTTTACATCGAAAGCTGCTTCGTATATTACCTTTCAAGACGGGCTCCTCTAACATCGTACACCTGGATGACAGGTTTGAATTTTATTTCTAATGTTTTATTTGTGTTTATACCCTGTTTGTAGAGGACGACATTCCTCGTATAACGAAAGTACGTCTTGGAGAAAGACTCTTGAACATGAGACGTAACAATCTAATCGATCAGGATTACTACTCGCAAGTCTTACACTTGTTTCCGGATGCCACTGATTTGGTAAGTTTGCTATTCCTTTGTAGATTAAGATTTCTTACCATTTTCATTAGCATTAGCGTGCGGACCTGTACACCTCGCTAAATAAATCAAAGACCAACGCCACGGTCCCGACCAAGACGTCCGTTTGCCAGCATCTCTCGTGGAGGAGCTCTCTTTCACTTCCAGGACGCTTAGCACCGCCACCGTGTGTCGAAGTCAACGCCTTCCAGCCAATCTCACAAGCATCTTCCAAGCTGCTGATGTCGACGAGCAGGCAACTCAAGTTCGCATCCGAGCCGAGATCAAGCGAGCGCTCCAATTCGTGCGCAAATGGTGATCCTCGACTCAGGACGCAATGCTCCGATCAAGGCTGATGGTGCTTTTCTCGATTCCGTCCAAGGCCTTTGACGTACTCGCTGGGGCATATGATGCGAGCAAGATCTTTCACAAGAAAAAAAATCCGGTCCCTGTATATCCCTGCCCTTACCGACGCGGGAATCGCTAATGGAGGAGGAGGTGATCACTACCTGCAATCCTTCAGCGATCGCTAAACATCCTATTGGAAACTACCCAAGATCATCTTACCTCCTTGACACAGTCCAGCTTGTCATACCTGGGAAGGAGTTCTTGCGGAGCTTTTTCTGATACCTCGGGCTCCGGGTTGGGCGCCTCCAATCCTTTCTTCTTGTCGGCCGATTCTTTCCTTGACCGGGCAGCCTTGACAGCCGGACTGCTCCTCGTAGCTCTTCAGTGCCTCACGCCTCTGCTAATTTGAGCGCCTCCCTAATGCTTGGGCTCATCCTCTCCATCGCAAACCCTAACTCGGAATACGCTTTGTGGTTAAGATCCTTTTGGCGGTGGTCAAAACTATCCAGAGTGTTCTTGCGCCGGTCTTGCAAGATTGAAAAGAGGTGCCTGTTTTGATCTTATTGCTTCTCCAAACCTTGGACGTCCAGCCAGCGAATTTGTTGATAAGTTTCCTGTAAAATTTCACTTCTGGAGTGTATTGGCTGAAAGCTATACCATTGTAGTGGTCTCCAAAGTAATTTCCAGAGACGAGAGGAGCAACACCGTTTTGCTCGATCCCTCTGTGACGAACGCAGGAGTCCGGTCCTTCTGCAGCATGAACATGGACGTGATAACTTACATGCTGGCTAATGTCGACGAGTTTGTGCAAGCGATAGTGGACATTTTGAGGTTGGCCGGGGTTTATAACGTGAGATATTACATGCCGGGGAAACTCCGGTCAATGGAGCTTTAGAAGCAAGCTCGAGGGAATGGAGCTTAAAAATCTCTCTGGCAGCTCTCTCGGAGCTAATTACAGTTTTCCAGGATTTCTTCTTCTGTCAAGAAATTACTCATGCCATCATTATGGTTCGTTTTTTTTTTTTTTCCTTTTAAATGGTGATGAGCAAGAAACAGCAGTGACTATGAGCACTGCTTCTCTTTGTGTCTTGCCGTACAATGGTTTTTCCAACGTCCGATGTTGCAGAGTTCCCCCTTTGGTTGACGAGATCTCTATTTGATCTTCGATCACTGAAACTTAAAATCCCAGAAGAAAGAGAGACAGTAGAGCAAATTCTATATCAAAGTGATGAAACCGAGTTCCATCTCGGGCAATAATATGCCAGTCTATGATCTTGGACGCCATGCTCGGACTGTCATACTGTTGGAAAACTCAAGTTTTTGATGATCCTCAGCGTCGATACTCGCGGGCTTATGAACAAATTCCAGTTTACAACTCCAGGGTGAGGAACAAGCTCTTGGAGTCCACACTTCGGATACATGGTGATGGAGCGTGTTCCTCACACTTATGTTTCCAAAGTGTTGTTTGCTCTCAAGTATGTGACTTGTGGATGTGCTTGCCGTTATCGCAAAGGATCCGGACTGAGCAAGCTCCAAGGATTGCTACGTACGTGAAAGCATCCGGCTCCAGCCCCTGTGATCGCGTCTTCCAGTATGTCTCGCATAGCTGCCATGGACCGAAAGGCCCTGGCGGCATGCAAGCTCTTGGACGAAGAAGGGGTGAAAAGCCGGGGGAAAGTGTGTAAGTGTCGATGGAGATCTCTTCTCTTACCATCTCCTTGTAAATCTCCAGTGCCTCCTTGGTACATAGCATTCTGGACGTAGCACTCGACGAGGTTGCTCCAGGAGAAGGTGTTGCGCTGCTTGATTCGATCAAAGACCTAGCGGGCATCCTCGGGCCTCTTGCATCTCCCCATCTCCCATACATTTGGATGATCATATTGGTGTCGTCCTCGTCGTTGGCGTGATCCCTGTCGGCCAAAGCCCTCTCTTGGCCACATTTCTTGAGCAATTTCACGTACTCGGGAAAATCCAGGCGGGTTTAGAGGCTGCTCTCCGATAGAACATATTTCAGCCATTCCATTTTTGACAGCTGGATGGGAGCTTCTTGACCCAATCAATTTTAAAAACTGACAATTTAAAAATCAGCATATTCCATATTTTGATGACTTTGCCCTGCTTAGGTCTAGGGCAAAGCACAATTATCCCACATGCCCAAGCGTCAATGAAGCTCATCTCTTTAAATAGTGCCGCGTTTTGTAAACATGTACTTCTTGGGTCGTAGAGTATGCGTCTGATGACCCGTCTGTGTGTCTCGAAGTATAAGTCATATTCCGACCCCTGGAGTTTTGTAAAATTTTAATGGTAATTTTTTTTTTTGCAAAATCTTATGCGAAACTCCGGTTGATCGATCGATCGCGAAGGGGTGATCTAGCATTGCGCCTCCAGTATCACGCTGGCTTGATGTTCCTGTAGGAGATCACAGCGTAGAATGGATCTTTCCCTGGCGCTCGCCAGAAATTGAGGAGGCGAGAGATGAGAGTCGAATCGTCCACCATTCCGGGAATCCTCTTGATGATCTCCGGCTGCGTGAATCCAGCCACGGCCTGGAAGTACTGGACCACGAGCTGGATCCTCGAGTAATCGCTCCCATCCCTCCACGCCGCGATTGCCTTGTCGTAGAACATCCTATTGCTGAAGCTCACGATGCACACTCCCCCGGGGCGAAGAACCCTAAGAATCTCCGCGAAGATCTTCTCCGGCTGCTCCAGGTACTGCACGCTCACGGCGCACACCACGGCATCGAAGCTCTCGGCCGCGATTCCGCTCAAGGATGGATCGCGATTGAGGTCCTTGACGAAGAAATCGTCCAGGCGCTTGTTCTTGAGGAGCTCCTGGGCATTGAGGCCATGGCCGACGACTCTCTTGTAGGAGAATTCCGGGGGAAGATGGCTCACCCAGGAGCTCATGAGATCCAGGACCTCGGATCCCGCTGGAATGCGCTGCCGGTAGACATCCGTGAGCTCCCGGATGAATCCATCGTCGACGTGCGTGACGAGCCTGGGGAATGCGTAGAAATCGCGATCTGGAGCGATGTTGAGCTTGGTGCGATTGCGATCGGTGAGAACCGTGCGCCGGATCTGACCGGCTCGATTGAGATTCTCCGCGCGTGGAGAGAGAGGAGGAGGAGGAGGAGGAGGAGGAGCGATCGCGAGGCGGCCATGGCCAAAAATAAGCGCCATTTTGCTCCAGCCTTTTATTTTGATTTTTTTTCCACCTTAGGGTTTATGTTCTAGGGTTTTAGGCCAGATGGACGAGACGAGCATCATCCGCGGCATCAACTCCGCCATCAAGAAGAGCGAAGGGAGATTTTGCTGCGGCGGATCATTGCCGCTGCCACAGGAAGGGATTGGGATCTGGTACACGAAGGTACGAAAATATATCGATCGATCGATCGATCGGTCTACCAAAATATATTTCTCATCGATCGATCTATCGTCCAGGAGAACGATTCTCACGGCCATCTCCATCTTCCCGTGGAGCCTTACGATGATACCGGCATCGAGGAGCTCCTGGACGAGACCGCAAATCTCCAAGAAGGTAGTTAGAAATCCTCTTTTCTTCCATTCTAGCTCTAGAAAAACTCCCAGGACACCTTGTTCACGAGCTCGACCCCCATTCTTTCGCCACAAACTTCGATCTGGGCAAGTTCTTCATCATGGACGAGATCACCAAGCTCCTCGGCCCCGGCACCATCCTCCGCGCGCAGCTTCACAAGCTCACGGTGATCGTCACCGGCGGCGAGCGAGAGCTCAATGACTCGATGCTCCCAAACGAAGAGGGCGACGTCTTTGGCTACTTGATCGTCGGACTTCCATTCTCTTTCACCGGCGGAGAGGTCATGGTGAGAAAGTCCGGAAGCAAGCTCAATACTTTCTCGACCTGGGACACCACCGAGTCGATCCACTGGGTAGCTTTCATTGCCGGTTGCGACCACTTGATCACCGAGGTAACTTCGGGCTACCAGATCACACTGACTTACAAGCTTTTCAGACTGGTGGACAGTAACAAGAGAAAGAGAGTGGTAGGAGTGAACGACACTCTGGTTGACGCTCACACCCTGCCGCTCTACGAGCTCTGGATCGAGGCCACCAACAACGCAAACTTCTACCCCGACGGTGGTGTCCTGGGTTTTGCTTGCCAGCAGCAGTACGAAGTTAGCGACGAGCTCAGAGTCGATGGTCTCAGGGATGACAAGACTTGGCTGCTCAAGGGGGCCGATGCCATGCTGTTCGCGGCAGCAAAGGCAGCGGGGCTGGAAGTGGAGCTCAAGCCAGTCTACAAGAACAGCGAGAGCGAGAACCCGGCACTGCTCTACTTGGGGAAGGTCGTCGGCGAGAAAGCTCCAGGATTCTTGGGAGAGTTCCGGGAAGGCTTTGACGATCTGGACAGGGATACCACCGCAGGCGAGGAGCTCCCGAGAGGTCGCGACGGTGTCAAGACGGACGCCAACTTGAAGTGGTGCTTGAGGAATTTTGCGTGGATCACTGGGAAGGAGTGTGGACGCTACCGGACCGAGCAAGTGGATGTTTCGTGGTTTCACTCGAGCGCTGTGGTGGTGACGATTCCTCCCTGGTCGGAGAGGAAGGGGAGCATCGAGAAGGCGGAGGAGGAGGTTCCAGAGGCGAAGAAGGCCAAGATTTACAAGGAGGCCATCGCCGACTGGTTCCGGCGGGCCGAGGAGCAAGCCACCCGCGAGGTTGCGGACAGTGAGTACCGGGCAAACTCGGACGAGGAGGAAGAGGAGGAGGAGAACGAGGACGAGGATGAGGAAGACGATGAAGGAGACGACGAGGAGGAGGGCGATGGCGATGGCGATGGCGATGAAGAAGAAGATGGCGATGGCGATGGCGATGGTGGCGATGGAGGAGTGAAAGAGGATGGCGATCCTCTTCCTCCGGCGAAAGATCTAGAGGGCGAGAATGGAGCTCTAGAGAAAATTCCCGAGTGATCGATCACCTATCAAATTTTTTTTAACTTGGATATGTGTCGGATTTACCCAAGTTCCCCAAGTTACCTAAAGGTTAGAAAGGACTGGGACAAAAGTGCCGGCATCGTGTGTTTTGATTATCGTGAACAGGGCGGTCTTTAGGGTTCATCGCGACGCTGGGGTCAAGGATTTGATGCGCCCTCTCGGCGGGGGATTCGCGTCATTGTTGATCGGCGATCAGAAATGGGGCGATCGTTCGTCAGGTAGGGAACATTCTTGGAATCTCAAGCTTATTTTTTCCCTCGATTCTCCTCTCGCCCGTCAGGTTCCCGAGCGATCTTAGCTCGGATGTCTCGAATTCGGTGCGCCCGGCCGAGAATGGGCACTACAAGCCCATGGATGATGCTGCTCTTAGGCACAAGTGGGACAGCCAGGGGATTCCAGGCGCGGCGGTGTGGGATCTCGACAAAGTGATGGAGGCATCGGATTTTAAGCTGGATGACAGGCTGCCGAATTCCAAGGTCCTGGATCCACGCAGCAATTTCGTGCATCAGTGGAACAAATTCTTCGTCATCTCCTGCTGGATCGCCGTGTTTGTGGATCCACTCTTCTTCTACCTTCCGGTGGTGAGCAAGAGCATTTGCGTGAGAATCGAGACCGATCTCGCCATCGCCGTGACACTTCTGCGAACACTCTCCGACTTGTTCTACATTCTACACATGGTTTTGGAGTTCCGGATGGGTTTCATCGCTCCCTCTTCGCAAGTTTTTGGGAAAGGAGAGCTCGTCGTGGATACGAAGCAAATTGCCAGGAAGTATCTCACCAGGAACTTCTGGCTTGACTTGGTTGCCGTCTTGCCTCTTCCACAGGTCTGCCGTCTTTATTGTCTCTCTCTCTCATTTAGTTGTCTTTTCTTCGTTCTTTCACTGGCAAGGCTAATCCAAACTTTTGTTCTAGTTCATAATCTGGATTTTGATACCAGTTCTGAAGAGCACACCGGCAGCAAGCACTAAGACCGCCTTGAGATTCGTGGTCTTTTTCCAGTACCTCCCGCGGCTGCTCAGGATCTATCCGTTAACAATGAAGATGGTCAAGAGCACTGGAATGGTGCTGGAGACTCCGTGGGCTGGAGCGGCATACAATCTTATACTTTTCATGCTCGCAAGTCATGTAAGTCTGTGTCGTGCCGTCTACATCCATCCAACTTTAAGGAAACCGTTGTTGTTTATTCAGGTACTTGGCGCTACGTGGTACTTGCTAGCCGTGGAACGCCAGGACACTTGCTGGCGTAGAGAATGCCGGCGTGATACCACTTTTGGTATACACTTGTGCAAGCGCTTTCTGGACTGTCAAAGTCGGACAAATGGTTTATCCGGGCAGCGGGATCAATGGCTCAGCTCGACCGATATAAGTCAACGATGCTCCGCCGATCAGGACAGCTTCAACTTTGGTATTTATAATGAAGCTCTCAAGAACGGAATCACAACAAACACCGCGTTCTTCAAGAAATATTTCTACTGTCTGTGGTGGGGATTGCGTAACCTGAGGTATGAGCGTCTTTTTATATTCTTAGACTCACAATGAACGTGCGCTCTGTAGTGCGCTGGGTCAAAATCTGGAAACAAGTACGTTTGTTTGGGAGATTCTGTTTGCTATTGTTATTGCGATCCTGGGATTAGTTCTGTTCGCTCTGCTCATTGGAAACATGCAGGTCGGTTGCCCTGTCTTTCTCAAAGCGTCATTCTTTTAGCTTCTTTTGTGTTTATGCAGACGTACTTGCAATCTGTTACAGTGAGGTTGGAACAAATGAGGCTTAAACGTCGTGACACAGAGCAGTGGATGAGCCACCGGCAATTGCCGCCTGAGCTACGTGATCGAGTACGGAGATATGACCAGCAGAAATGGGTGGCAACAAGGGGAGTTGACGAAGAAGCGCTCGTCCAAAGCTTACCAGTTGACCTGAAAAGAGATATCAAGCGGCATCTCTGCCTGAATCTAGTTCGCAGGGTAAGTTGCTTGGCTATCTACTTTCATCTCGAGCTAAGTCATGATGTTTACAGGTCCCATTGTTTAGTCACATGGACGAACGACTTTTAGATGCTATGTGTGAGAGGCTTACCTCTGCTCTTCACACCGAAGGAACGTTTATTACTCGGGAAGGTGATCCTGTCAACGAGATGCTGTTTATTATCCGAGGAAACTTGGAAAGTGTAACTACAGATGGAGGGCGCACAGGTTTTTTGAACGTGAGCATTCTGGGGCCGGGAGATTTCTGTGGCGAAGAACTCTTGTCCTGGGCTTTGCTCCCAAAGCCGAAAAACCTTCCGACCTCGACTCGGACGGTTAAAGCGTTGAAAGAGGTGGAAGGTTTCTCTTTCAAAGCCGAGGACTTGAGATTTGTGGCCGGTCAGTTCCGAAGGATGCACAGCAAGCAGCTCCAGCATACGATACGCTACTACTCGCAGCAGTGGCGTACCTGGGCAGCTCAGTACATTCAAGCTGCCTGGAGACGTCACGTTAAGAAACAAGACCAAAAGCGGCAGCTCGAGTTACTATCCAGTCTCATAGACGACGGAGGGGCACCGCTTAAAACTTCTACTTCCATCAGCTTCGGAGCAGCCTTGTTCGCCTCTAAGTTTGCTGTCAACGCAATGCGGGGTGTCCAGCGGTTGAGATCAAGCAGAGCCACGGCTCGTTTACTTTACAAGCCCAGCGAGCCAGACTTTATGACCGATTACGAGGAGTGACTCTGGACAACCGAGGTCACAGTTTGAGAGCGCAGGTTTGATAACAGGAGATACGGAGTGCCGTCGCTCGGGTGTAGACTCAAAGCTCGCAGAGCCGCTGCTCCACCAATGCTGGAAGTAGTGTGGTGGTGAACGTTACAGGCAGAGAGAAGGCTCGTCCAAGCGGCAGCGTCGGGTTCGTACGGCATTAAGTCGAGAAGCTCCGAGGCTTGCTCTATCCAGCCAGATCGTCCCAGAGCATCAGCCAGGCAGACGTAGTGATCCAGCGCTGGAACAAGGCCGTGGTCGGGGATACAGGAGAAGAAGGTGTGAGCCGCGTGAAGAAGGCCGGCTTGAGCACACTTGGACAGGATAGCGATGAAAGTCACCTGGTCGGGATTGATACCATCGAGCTGCATCGATTGGAAGAGGTGGAGTGACTCCTGCCCTCGACCATTTTCAGCGTAGGACGAGACAAGGCTCGTCCACAACACCACGTCTTTGCAAGGCCAGGACACGAAGATTTCTCTGGCGGCCTCCAAGCTCGAGCACTTGCTATACATCCCGATCAAGGCATTGACGAGAAGTATATCGGGGTGGGAGACCTCCGAGTGGATTGCTCGTCCCAGCAACAGGTCCGCTTGGCTTCCACAGGCTTCTATCACAGCGAGGAAAGTTACATTGTCAGGATGAACGCCATCGAGATCCATAGCGCGGAAGAACCGAATCGCCGAGGCGAAATCGCCGGTTTGAGAGTAGGTGACAATCATCAAGTTCCAGGAGACAACGTCCTTGGTGGGAATTTTTTGGAAGAGAAGCAAAGCTTCGTGAAAGTGGCCGTTTTTGGTGTAAGCTCCAAGCATGGAGTTCCAGGAGACAACGTCGTGGTGTGGAGATGTGTCGAAAATTTGCTTAGCTTCGTGGAGATGCCCGTGTTGGGCATACGCATGTATCATAGCGCTGGAAGTAAAATCATCTTTGTTGTGGCAGCTGGTGTATATTCTTCTAGATTCCTGGATTTTCCCTGCCTGGGTATATGCGTTTACCATGATGGTCGTGGTGACAGCATCGCGTAGATGCCCGGGCATGGAATCTAGTAAAGATTCCGCTTTGTGTAGATGCCCGGTCTGGGCATATGCTGCTAGGAGAGAGTTCCACGTCACAGAGTTTCGTACAGCCATTGCGTCGAACGTAGCTTGGGCCATTTCCAACTGGCCAGTTCTTCCGTACGTAGAGATGAGGGTGTTCCACGAGATAATGTCCTTGTTGGGCATGCGATCGAAGAGGAGTTTAGATTCGTCTAGATTCCCTTGTTGGGCATACGCTGCGAGCATTGCGTTCCAGGAAATCGTGTCGCGAGAGGGCATTTGATCGAAGAGCTCACGCGCTTCGCCCGGACGATCGCGCTCGCCATACGCAGTGATGAGACAATTCCAAGAGATTGGGTCTTGGCTTCTCTCTCTCTCGGGCATCTGGTCGAAGAGGGCGCGCGCGGTGTCAATCTGGCCGTTGTGGGCGAATGCCGCGATCACGATGTTCCAGGAGAAGGAATTGGGCTTGTCGATCGACTGGAAGGCGGCCAGGGCGTCGGCCGTGCTCCCGCAGCGCCCATACATCTCCACGACAAGATTGGCGAGAAATCTACTGTTGCGATGCTTGCTGTGGCGAATTCGATTGTGGAGAGCCCGGGCATGGGCGAGATCGCGAGTGCGCCCACACGATCGCAGCTGCGCTGCCAATTCCTCCATTCCATTTCGAAAGAGAAGATCGTTTAAACCCTAGCCGCTTTAAAGCCATAAACCCTGAACCCATTTTTAGGGTTCTTTGTTTCTCGCGATGCGTGCTACTGTGTCGAGGGCGTGGAGAATCATCGCCGCGCCATCCAGGTAACGGCGATTCCCAGGCGCATTTTAGCTGCAATCTCATCCCCGCGCTCTTCTAGATGGAGTAATGGCCAGCATTCTTTCGCTCCTCCGCGGCTAAATCCCTCTGCGAGTCTTGGCTGCCGGAGAGCGTATGCCGAAGAGGCGGGGGCCAAGGTTGAAGATGAGAGTGGCAACGATCCGGAAGAAGGGAAGAAGGAGAAGGGCAGCCTCGTTAGCCTGTGCTTAAAGACTCCCGATCTCTCTGTGAGGAGGATCGAGGCATGGGCCGCCCAAGGCAACACTGTCACGCAGGGAAATATCTCCGAGGTCATCGAAGCTCTTTGTGTCCAGAAGAGATTTCTCGCAGCATTGCGGGTAAGTACTTTCTTCTTTTCTTTCTCCTCTTCCATTTCTTGCTTCTTATTTTCTGCGTGTTGTTCTCGTATCTGTGCTTTCTTCTTCTTCGTTTCCTTAGTCATAGAGTTTCTTTGTTCTTGCGCATTGATTTATTTTCTCGCTTCTTAGTTTTGGCGTGTTCTCGTCGAGTGACTGTGATTTGTTTTTCGTTCTCTAAAGTTTGTTTGTAACAGGTGATGGAATTCGCTCGCCAGAGGACTGATTTTGTCTTCTCGCTCGAGGATGCCAAGCAGGAGGTGACCATTGCAACTCGCAAGCTTGGGTCCTTCGCAGGGCAGAAAAAAATCAATTCCCTCCCTGAGAAGTTCCGGTCCAACGAGGAAGTAGTAGCTGCATACCTCCGGGCTCTGACAAGGATCAACGCGGCGTCCAAGGCACTTTCTCTCATCAAAGATCTCAAGCCCACCACTCCAGCGCTCTACAGCTCCATGATCTCCGTGTACGCCTTCTTGGCCATGCACGAGAAGATGCTGGCTCTTTACACCGACATGAAGGAGCTGGGAGTCAAGCCGACTCTGGAGATCGTCATGCTGATGCTTCTCAAGTACCACAAGAGGGTTGGGGGTCTTCCAGGAATCGAGGAAGAAGCTCGAGCTGCTCTGGAAGAGATTGATCCGCGTGCCGCAGAGCCATTGATCCGGAACTACATGCTGGAGATGTATGGATACTTGGGCGATCGAGACAAAGTCGAGAACATCTGGAGCATCATACGGGCCCAGCCGGGAGGGACCTTTCGCAACTGTTACTTCAGTGCAATGCTCGCGTTTGGCTACCTCCGGGACGTGGACAGAGCCGAGGAGCTACTCCGGGAGTCCGTGGAGGTGGTCAAGGTGATCCCGGGAAGAAACCAGTACTTTAAGATGCTCGACGTGTACGCCAAGATGGGGATGATGGACAAGGCGGAGAAGCTCTTGGAGGAGAGAGCCGAGGATCAGTACCGGAACTTCTATCCTTGCAACGCTCTGGTGGAGGGATACTTGTCCTTAAACGACCCGGACAAGGCTTTGAAGAAGATGGAGGAGCTCGGATCGAGCCGCCCGAGCTACGAGGCAGTTGTGGGCCTCCTTCCGGTGCTCGAGAGCAAAAAAGACACACTCGCCACCAAGAAGTTGATCCGTGCCTATCTGTTCCAGTACCGTGGAGACGTCTACCTCTATAACAAGATGCTCAAAGTTTACGTCGCGGCGGGAAAGCGGCCGGGGCCGAGAATGTTGGCCAGGTTTGAGATCGATCCAAACGACGAGACCCGCGAGCTCATGAAGGTCATTGAGGGGTTCCCAGAGCCTACGGAATCGGAGGATGTCATCATGGAAGAAAGCGAGAAGAAGGTCGAGAAGAAGGTGGAAGACAAGCCATCAGCAGAGAGTAAGAAGAACAAGAGCAAGAACAAGAAAAAGAAGAACGAGGAATCATCCAAGCAAGAGAAGAGGCCTGAAGGAAAGTGGGAGTTTCTACAATCTTTGGTTTAAAGTCTAGCTTGTTTATACTAGTGTTTCTTGTAAGCTTCAAAGTTAGAATGAGAGATTTCTAGCTTCTAGTTCCACTTCTTTGTCTTTTGGGTGTCTTTCTTCTTTTGATCTTTGTCTTGCAGTTTATCATTGTTCATGGCAATCGTTTGTTAAAGACCTCTTTAAACTCCTTTCCAAAACAACAATCGTCAATGCAAAACAGCAGGCGGTGCACACTCCCTGCAACAGCGGCGTCTTCTCAAACTTGCCAACGAGCCACTTGGCGAGCTATCCTGGGCGGTGAAGTAGAGCGGGATTTTGAGGCGGTAATCGATCCCCTATTGTCCACCACGTCCGACACGAAAGCCAGGCTTGAAACCGGGCGATCGGAGCTGCTGTTCTTGCGCTGCTGCGAGCTCAATGCCGCATATTCCATTTTCTTCGTAACAAATACTTAAACTATTTTAAAGTACATGTATTCTCCACTTTTTGACCGGGTCCTAAAAAAATATACACAAAAACATCGAGTCATTTGGTACCAAAAACTCCTTGAGCCATCAAAGGGCTGGAGATTTGCGAAAATGGTAGCAGCCAATCGCTCCATCAGCAATGAGAGCAAGAAACAGGAACAGAAAAAAGAAAAGAAAAGTAACAAGCCACAATCTTGTGCTCAAATACCATGAAGAGAAAACAAGTTGCAATTCACATGTAAATCACACTTTATATACAAGCTATTCCTGACTGATTGGTGCGTGATTCCTGGAGACCTGAGCAGATCAACAACTGCTACCTTCGACAAGCTTGATGAGACATTGAAACATTAATCTCAGTGATCATCAAAGTGGACATCATGGCAGTAGTAATGTCATCATGTACCTACATAGGATAGAACCTATATGGTTTTTAGTATAAAAAGCTCCATTGACAAAATATTTATCAAATATCAATAGAGCAATCTCAAAGGCAAAAACTCTCTATGGCAGCTCTTTTTGAGGTAATTACAATATGCCAAGCCTTAAATCACTATATCACTCATTTACTTTGTTGAGTGCGGAAGGATAAATCAACGATGTTTAAAAACGTATCCTCAGCCCGCGAAAGTTTGTGGAGTAAAGTGTGAGGGAGTGCAGGTAATGACTGGCAAATTGAATGGTCCCGAAGGAAGTTTTTCAAAATTTCTTCTTCTAGCAAGAAACCAGAGAGGTATGGAAATATTAAAGCATTGAAAGGATTAAGAGGAGAAGATTCATTCTCTCATGCTGCTATAAGATGCTGATAAGGGGATAGAGAAATCTGTTTTCATGGTCAACCAGCTATTGGAAAATAGTGGAGTTTGATGTAATTGATAAGAGATTTGATGGGATGCAAATAAAATTATCTAGCAATCCTAGAAACAGAGATGGACCAAAATTCAGCTCAACTCATTAGTTGAGCTTAATTTCAACTCAGTCAAGGGTAGTCAATGAAAGTCTAACATAGCCTTTGAAACTTACATTTACTTTGAATTGACTCTGTTGGCATTTTGTTGATTAAGCTGACTTTCATTGACTTTTTGACTCAAAAGTATGCTTTTAACGTTTTGAGAGGGAATCCTCTCGTTTTTGAAGTGCAAATTCTTGATGGGTGGGATTACTGAGTTTAAATACTGTTAGTTGGGAGAATGAAGAATTGAGAAACTATTGGAGTTCTTAGATGTTTTGCCAACTGAACGTTTATCTGCCCCTTGAAGTCACCCTTTGGTTGGAGCCTCTGTCTTGTTCATATGTAAAAAAGATGGTGTGTCGACTATTATGCCTTGAACGAGGTAATGGCGAGGAACAATTATGCAATACCACGTGGTGATGCCAACTTTCTGTACTCTTGTGAATCAAGTTTTTGCGGACTATCCTCAAGCACTTTGAACATTTGCAAATGGCATTTCAAATGATTGCGCAAGAATAAACTTTATGCTAAGAAAACCAAATGCGAGTTTGAGGTTCAATCCTAAGAAACTTCACACTTCATGGCATTTGTTTCCAATCCAAGATTGACTCGATCCACCAAGGATTGGATTCCTTCCAAGTATATTGTCCGACTTTGGATGAGTGTTGTATGATGCGTCCAACTTTGCATTGAAGATGATTATCCAGTTTCATACTTCTAGAGGAAGTGCAATGACATTGAAGCCATTGTGCAGTCACTCCAGCAGAGGTGATAACGGATCATTGGACCTTGCGGCATTTCTTAGAGCATTCATTTATATATCCTTTTCTTTGCAGTTTCCACTTTCAAAAACATGGATTGTGAAGCTCAATCAGCTCGAACAGCTCGTGAGCTCGTCGGCCATGTCACCAACAAACTCCACTCCCAAGCCCGGTACTGCGAGAAGATCTCCGCCGCGCTCGACACATCTCCGCATTTTCCATACATGTTGATGGCCGCTGCTCCAGCAGTGACGTCGAACTTCTCGCCGCTCGAATAGACAGCACTGCCGTCCGAGAGAGCTGTGAAGGCCGCGCAGACGTCGAGAAACTGGAGAAACTTTCTGCAAAGGTACGACTGCAGAGAAAGTAACCTCCCTTTTCTCTTTCGCACTCACTCTATAGCCATCAGCTTTGATCTGCAGCAGTCACCCTTGACATCACCCTACATCGACACGGAGAATTTCTCGCCCGAGTGGTGGTGCCAACTCTTGGGGAACAAGAAATCTTCGAATTAAGGGAAAGCTCATCCAGATACAGTTTAATCCTTCTTCTTCTTCGCTGCCAACTTCTGCATGCTGTCCCCACATCGTGGTCGGCGTTTGGTGGACTTCTTAATTCAGTTACGCTCGGGCTCGGGATAGTGGTGCTTCCAGTTTTGCATCCGCCCGAGCCCGAGCCCGAGCCAGAGCCAGAGCTCGAGCCCAAGACAAGAGGCACTGTTGAGCTGGTACTCCAAGCCCGAGACACTTTGTATTGTACAATGTACACCCCTGTTGACAGCTTGGAAGGAATTTCCTTTGCTATGTCCTCAAACGAAAAAAACTCTCCGACAACATCGATGAAAACGTGCTTTGCCAGGGCTCACTTTCTACACTCCAGGACGATCTCACTGGTGTAATCAATCACGATCATTTCACAAAACTGATTTGACAGTTTTTCGAGTGTTTGGATCAGAATGTCCCTTGCAAAATCGGAGACGAATCGTAGTGTCCTCGGCACCTTCCAGAACCCATCTCATATTAAGAAACTTGAGCAAACAACCTCCACCCTTTCTGGAACAAACAACAAACGCCTGAACTGCAGCAATTCGATCGGCCGCAGGCACCGCGCACCATCCTTTCTAGAGCAGTCACCATGACCTTGACTTGTTTCATAGCTTTAAAGTCGCACTTCGCTTTGGATGCAGTGACGTACTCGGACACGAGCAAAGGAAGCCTCCAGGTCAGGTATAGGAAATCGCTCCCCTCCGCAATTCCATGCGCACCGAGAAAGGTTTGAGCTTCCCCCACCGTGAACACTGCAATTTTTCGGTACAAAAGGCAATCTATGGCACTTAACAAACTCCTCATGACAAAGAGTCTTGGAGCATAAACTCTCAACGGACTCAATATTTCCTCTAATGTCCGCCACCCTGGGTTCATCTAGTTTCTGATAGTTATCGATGAGAAAGACAAAGTCGTTTGACTCCCCCAACTTTTCGATGCACTTCCTCAACTGCTCAAACTCCTTTTGAAACGCAATTTCCCTTTGAAGTGATACATCCAAGAAAGAGAGCTTTTTGCAGATTCGAGAAGAGGTCCTGGGCATTTGAAGGGATATCAGGAAAGTAGATCGGTCGGTTTGGCTTCTCTTCTGCTTAGGTGACATCGACCTCCTGGATCTTCTTTCCTGAAGCCTGAGCTCTGTTCCATTCGTGGCCACTACGGAGGCATCCGTGCTCAACAAGCTTCGGAACGAGCGGCTTGTAATGGAATCCAAGGTCTTCAACCGTCAGCCTCTCTAGCAGCCATTTTGCCGTCCATTGCATTCCACAAAAAGGCGGCAAATTCCTTAGAAGCTCCGCCAGATAATCCTCTGGCGAGGACGTAGCTTAACCCTATCCTAAAACTCCATAAACCAATTATATAACCCTAAAAATGCCTTTAGTGTTTTGATTGGTTTGCATGGAAGATTCATTGCGTGAAACCAAAAGGGCCAGACTGGATCGGGGAAACTGAGCGTCTTCGATCAAATGCCCGAGTGGAAGCTTGTCTCTCGGAACTCAATGCTGGCGGGGCTGGGATCCAACGGGGAGGTTGCGGCCGCGGAGGAGATGTTTGAGCTGCGAGCCGGAGGGGAACTCGATGATCGCGGCCTACGCTCGCCACGGGAGCTTCTCTCGAGCTCTGAGCTTGCTCAAGCGGATGGACTTGGACGGTGAGCCTCCATACCCTACGTGGATCACCATCCTCGACTGCTGCGACAATCTCCACCATGGAAGTCTTCTCCACAAAAAACTGGAGCTCTCGCTTGATCTCCGCTTGGACGTAGACTTGAGTTGCCTGCTCATCAACATGTATGGGAAATGCCGCAGCTTGGAAGGCGCTCGCAAGTCCTTCGAGAAGAGCTCTGCCACCACCAGTGTCAGATCCTGGACTGCCTCGGAGCGTTCGTGGCAAACGACTCAAGCCGGAGAGCGATCAAGAGCTTCCACAAGATGGTACTAGAAGGCGTCCACTTCGACAAGGTGGCGGTGCTGAGCGTCCTGGAAGCCTGCTCTGGAGCCGGAGACTTGGACAGAGCTGCTCCTATACGGTTGAGAGAGGCTCGCTCAACATGTACGTCAAGTGTGGGAGATTCGAGCAGTCGAAGCTCGTCTTCGATGCCTTTCCGGAGAAGACCCTCGTGTCATGGACGTCGATGGTGTCGAGCTATGCCGGGAGCGGACGCTCTGCCGAGGCGCTGAAAGCTTTCAAGCTCATGGACTTGGCCGGCCTGAGAATGGACGGTGTCGCTCTGGCTTGCATCTTCGATGCGTGCGCGGCCTTCACAGCTCTCTCGGACGGCAGCGCTGTCTACTCGAGCGTCGAGGCGAGCGGCGAGATGCTCGATGTCACTGCTGGAGCAGCCGCCATCAACATGTATGGAAAATGCGGAGATGTGTCGAGCGCGGCGGAGATCTTCTCGCAGGACGGGGCCTGGGAGTGGAGTTTGATGCTCTGCACGACCACAGTGGCGGCCTTTGCTCGAAACGGACATGGCCGACGAGCTTGCGAGCTGTTTGAGTTGACTGAGCGTCAAGGACTAGAACTGGACGTTGTCAGCTTCACCACCATTCTTGCTGCGTGTAGCGCTGCCGGGCTGCTCCACGATGGTCACGGGTACTTTGTTTCCATGAGAGGGGACTATGCTCTCGCTGCCACCATGGATCACTACGTTTGCGTCATCTCATGAGCTAGACCGGACCACAACGCTTGTTTATGCATGGCCGCAGACGCACCTTGCAGGAAACGCCTACGCTCTAGAGCAATACGTGCCTGCAAAAACACGCAAGTTCCAACAATCTATCCACGAACACTCCACCTTTGTCACGGCAAGGAGTGCTGATGCATGTGAATTTTGCGTGATGAACTCCGTGAACGACGCTGGCAAGGGGTTCTCGGCAACATCCGCTGGGAAGTTCCGTCGATGAACTTCTCTCAGAGCGTGGGCCGAGAGCTGCCATAATAGCTCCACAAATCTAGAGAAGGAAAAAACGAAAAAAACTCAATCATAGGAACCACGGAGGCAAAACAAGACCCACCTCTGACCACAGCATGGAAACCCGAGAGCTACTCCGAGGTAAAGCCCCTTGAGCCTCTAGCTCGTTGATAAGACCCTGGACAATCTGGAAAGAAAGAAATTTCTTTCCAGAAACACAGCGAAAGAATGCGTATTACTGTTTCCGGAAGTCGCGAGACTGTGCCGCATCGAAAATCGGCCAGACACCGGCGAAATCCTGTGAGATCGAGCGTGAGCGCCTCAAATCAACCTACATTCTCGCCGTCTTCCCCACCTTGGTGGCCAGCGATAGCAGCGCCTCGCCGACTCGCGGATTGCAGCACCTTGCCCTAGAATGCTGGCATCCAGAGCAAGCATCTCCGTCTCCTTGTCGCGGATCACATCCTCCTTGGAGCGTCTCCCTAGCAAAGACTCAGTGCAAAGCCAAAGAGCTGGCCAAATTTAACCTAAATTTAATGATAACTCCCATTAAATGAGAAAATAGAGGTTTAACGGGAGGAATGGTTTTTTTAATCGGGGCCGTTCGATCTGTTGGATCCGACGGCTGTGAGGCCCCTTCTCCGGCGCTCAATGTTCTCTCTCCAGGAGAGGCGGGATTAAACTTAGGTACCGGATCAGATCTCTGGGAGCTCCTAGGGTTCCTGGGTTTCTGTCACACGGCGGATGAGCTTACTGGCTATGGCGCCGATCGATATCAGGCAAGTCGAGGCAGGGATTTTGATGCGCTACGGGCTCGCGATGGCCGCATTGAGCTGAGATCACAGCCTGTGTGATCGAGGTGAAAATTCTCTGGGGCGTGGAGAATCCAGGCACTCGTCATTGCATGGGAGAATGTCGCTTTTCCGCCGATTTTTCTACAGGAGGCCCCCCGATGGGCTCCTGGAGATATCCGAGAGGGTTTTTGGTAAGCACTCGCTCGCCCTCGATCCATTCCAATCTCCATTCCCAGCGCATTGATCCATTCTTTTGTGAAATCCAGTCTTTGACTCGTGCTTCTCCACGGACGTCTTCGAGGAGGAGACTTACAAGCTCTACTTGCGCCAGATCGCGATGCAAATCCACGAGCAGTTCCCCGATTCGTCCTTCCTCGTCTTTAACTTCCGGGAGGGCGAGAGGAAGAGCCAGCTGACAGAGATGTTATCGCAATACGATATGACGGTGATGGACTATCCACGCCAGTACGAGGGCTGCCCGATTCTTCCCATGGAGATGATCCATCACTTCCTGCGATCCAGCGATAGTTGGCTCTCGCTCGAGGGGCAGCAAAACATCGTCCTGATGCACTGCGAGAGGGGGGGATGGCCGCTGCTGGCGTTCATTCTCGCCAGCTTTCTCATCTACAGGAAGATGTACACGGGCGAATTCAAGACGCTTGATATGCTCCACCGGGAGGCTCCCAAGGGATTGATGCAGCTGCTCACTCCGCTCAATCCGATGCCATCGCAGCTGAGATATCTCCAGTACGTTGCTAGAAGGAACAACTCTCCAGAGTGGCCTCCCCCGGATCGCTCGCTCAGCCTCGACTGCCTCATTCTCAGAGTGGTGCCAGCTTTCGATACCGAGGATGGATGCCGGCCCCTCGTCCGGATTTATGGAAGAGATCCCCGATCGAAAGCAGGGAACAGGACGACGAGGATGCTCTTTGCCTTGGGAAAGAAGAGCAAGTCTGTCCGGCATTATCGACCGGTAAGGTGGTGAGCTTGTTTTCTTTCTCTTGCTTTGATCAGTAACGCTCTTGTGTGTTCCAGACAGATTGTGATGTGATGAAGATCGATGTACAGTGTGCCGTGCAAGGGGACGTGGTTCTCGAGTGCATTCACTTGGACTTGGAGTCGGACCGGGAGGAGATGATGTTCCGGGTCATGTTTAACACGGCGTTCATCCGCTCCAACATCCTGATGCTCAACCGGGACGACATTGACATACTCTGGAACGGGAAGGAGCGCTTCTCCAAGGACTTCCGAGCAGAGGTAAGGAAGCAAAGCTGAACCAATTTTGGCAAAATCAATCTTTTCCTTTTAGGTGCTTTTTGGCGAGACGGATGGATTTTCGTCCCCTGTGGCGCCTGTGCCGTCGCTGATGGAAGAGAAAGGTGGCTTGCCGATGGAAGCTTTTGCCAAGGTCCAGGAGCTCTTCAGTAGCGGGGACTGGTTAGACGGTGGCGGAGACGCGGCATTGAAGTTCCTCCAGCAGCTGACCACGGTTGGCAATGGATTTGAGGACAGGAGACTTCCGATGGATCGAGCAGCACTAGCGGCAGTGGACGACGAGTGGACACTTATTTCCAGCAGCACTACCTCCTCCACCATCGCCACCGCGACACCCCTAACCGACGATCAAAACGGGACAAGTCCAACGTCATCGTCTAACCCTAGCTTCGCACCAGGTACTCCTTCGCCACCTCCACCTCCGCCTCCTCCACCACCTCCGAGGTTGGCTATTTCGCGTTCTCCACCTCCTGCTCCACCACCACCACCACCACCACCAGTAGTTTCTGTTGCCGGTCGTCCCCCTCCTCCGCCTCCTCCACCACCTCCGTTCAAGCTTCCAAGTTCTACTGCAAAGCTGCCACCGCCACCGCCGCCTCCGCCTCCTCCGCCGCTGCCTCGAGGGAATTCAACTGCCCCACCGCCGCCGCCTCCGCCACCGTTGCCTAGAGGGAATTCAGCTGCACCACCTCCTCCGCCTCCTCCACCGCCACGTGGCAATACCGCTGCGCCACCTCCACCGCCACCACCTCTTCCACAAGCTGCGAGGCCTCTAGCTTCATCAAGCTCACCACCGCCGCCGCCACCGCCGCCGCTGCCTCCACCGGGAATGCGAGGCACTCCTCTGCCTCCACCTCCGCCTTTTAAAGGACCGCCTCCACCTCCGCCGCCTCCTCCCGGATCAGCAGCTCCGCCGCCACCGCCGCCTCCTCTCGGTGTGAAGTCACCATTGCCTGGTGTACCACCTCCTCCGCCACCTGCATTGGGGAGAGGACGAGGTAGTAGTCCTTTGACACCTTCGCCTCCTGGTGGTCGAGGCCGAGGACAGGTTGCTGGTGCTTCGGGTCTGGCATCTGCTACGCCGAAGAAGACCTCTCTGAAGCCATACCACTGGGTAAAGGTTACACGGGCTATGCAGGGCAGTCTATGGGCGGAGAGTCAGAAGCAGGAAGAGCAGTCAAGGTGTGTCTTGTGGTCTTTTTCTTTTGTTACATGTGCTCACAATTTCTTTTTGTTGCGTGATAGGCAACCTGAATTTGACATGAACGAGCTAGAGAGCCTCTTCTCGGCCGCTGTTCCGAATGCTGCTGCGGGTGGTGACAGAGCGGGTGGTCGTCGTGCATCTCTAGTTCCCAAGCAGGAAAAAGTGCTCCTGGTAAGCTGCCTTTTGTAGTCGAAGCGGAGGCCTCACTATTGTTTTATTCAGATTGAACATAGACGGGCGTACAATTGCGAGATAATGCTGACAAAAGTGAAGATGCCACTGCCAGAAGTTGTTGTAAGTTGCTCTCTACATTATGCAATGTGGTTTTTACTTGAGCACTCAGAAAGCAATACTAGCGTTGGATGGGGCAGTACTGGATGTAGATCAGGTTGATAATCTGATCAAGTTTTGTCCAACAAAGGAGGAGATGGAAACGCTCAAGGTTTTATTTCCAGATATGATCTTGCCATCTAACTTACACGCTGGTGGTTTTGCAGAACTACACGGGCGATAAAGAATGCCTGGGCAAATGTGAGCAGGTTTGTTCCGCTTTGTCCGAAACAGTATCGTTTACTAGACAATATGTTTGCTTTTGCAGTATTTCCTGGAGATGATGAAAGTTCCTCGGGTAGAGTCCAAATTGAGGGTTTTTTCTTTTAAACTTCAGTTCACGTCGCAGGTTTGGTGAAAATTATTTTGTCTACCCTTTCAAACGTTGGTATCAGGTGTCAGATTTACGAGAAAATCTGGTAGTAGTCAATGAAGCTTCAGCAGAGGTAATTTCGCACTCTTCTTGTATGTTGCCTGAAGCCGGATTCTTGCAGGTGAAAGAGTCTCCTAAGCTTAAAAGAGTGATGCAAACGGTTCTGTCCCTGGGAAATGCGTTAAACCAAGGAACTGCTAGAGGTAAGCAGAGTGCCCGGGAGCTTGAGCTAAGTAACAAGTGTGGCTGTTGTTCCAGGGGCGGCGATTGGATTCAGACTCGATAGTCTACTTAAGCTGACAGAAACTCGAGCTCGTAATTCTAGAACTACGTTATTACATTATCTGTGTAAAGTAAGTTAGGTGCAACTGTTTTGGCTTGGCTGACACGTGACACTGGTGGCAGATTGTATCCGAGAAAATGCCCGAAATACTTGATTTCGACAAGGAATTGCCTCACCTTGAGGCAGCCACCAAGGTTCTTATATTTCATACTCCAGTATTTGTGTCTCGGTTTTCTGACCTGTGTTACAGATTCAATTGAAGGCTCTTGCAGAAGAAATGCAAGCCGTAAGCAAGGGCCTGGAAAAGGTTGAGCAGGAATTGACAGCGTCTGAAAACGATGGAGCCGTCTCTGATGGGTTTCGGAAGGTGATGTCTGCCTGCTTTGCGTGCATTGTCCTAATGTTTTCCATGGACGCACAGAGCTTGAAGAGTTTCCTTGATACAGCGGAGGCGGAGGTGAGAACACTGGCGTCTTTGTACTCTGAAGTGGTAAGAGATGTTAAGTTTGTATGAATGGCTCGTTGAAAGCATTGTCACTTTGCAGGGCCACAATGCCGATTCCTTGGCGCGCTACTTCAATGAAGATCCCGCTCGCTGTCCATTTGAGCAAGGTACTTAACCATTTGGTCTATATGCACTTGATTTTACAAACGTCTGTTGGATTTGGTTCGCAGCGGTGTCGATCATTTTTAATTTCATCGTGATGTTCAAGCGTGCATTGGAAGAGAACAGCAAGCTAGCAGAGATGGAAAGGAAGAAGGCTGAGAAGGAGGCCGACAAAGACAAGGTTCTCCCGCTGAGAAGAGAGCTGGATGGGCTACTGTCGCCCCGGCGAAGCAGGATAGCGTGACCATTTAAGTCGGAGATTTTGAAAGGGGGTCTTTGTTTGTACATTCTTCCGGATAGATTATTGACACGAAGAAGATTTTTGAAGAAAAGAAATTCAATGATACGTTTCCAAGGCCCTACTAAGAACGTTAGGGTTTTCATGCAGAAGGGTTTAGAGCATGGCAGAAGAAGAAGCACGATACAGGGTAAGCTCCTTTGCTGCGCGTGCAGTTTTACAAGTGCTCCGAGAGCCTCAAGGAGGCAATATGCTATGGAATGATGGAGATGGGCCTTTGTTGAATGCCAAGAATTTCCTTGGTAGACCATTTATGCCGCCGCTCATCAGCAGCAACGTGCGGGTGGACACCTTCACTGATTGGGGAGTTGGACGGGAGTTATTCCCATCCAAGCTCTATGTATGGCACAACATCCATGAGCTGGTCGATCGTTTTGTTGCAAGAGAGATCAATGATACGGAGGAGGTCCTTTTTGTGCCCAATCGGGATCGACAAGTTCATCCTGTGGATTCTCCAGGTGCGATGGCGAGAGTCCTCAGCTCCCAACTCGTCCAGCGGCTGCCGGGGGCAATCCGTCGAGTAGGCTTGGTTCCCGAGGTTAATGTACTGTTGACAGGCAGTGATCGCAGCGTGAAACCTCGAGGTTGTCTCGTGGGAGTAATTCATTTGGAGCTTGAAGGGCTGTGCGTGCGAGACATTGCTACAAATCTGGAACGTGGCTCTTCCTTTAGAGAAGCTGTGGAGAGGGTTTATTGTTACTGTGAGCAGTGGAAGACAGACTATGCAGTGATTATTGGTGCATGCCATCTGTGGTTTTGCGTCAGGCATGGCTACAATGGCTTTGCTATAGCTGAACCGATGAAGATCTCTGAGGTGCCAATGAAGCACTTCTGGTACGTTATCTTCTCTAGTGTGGTCAATGCCACTGAGTTGCCTCTGCAAGACGATCAGGACAATTGCGAGGAGCTCACAATGGTGCCTCCCCCTCATCATGTGATGCTGCCAAAGGATTTCAACAAGTTTGTCAAGCGCAACATGAAGCACTTGGCAAGCGAGTTGGCATACATCTCCATGGCCAAAGTGCACAAGAAGCTGAAGTCTTGGAGGTTTGGGGAGTTTTATAGGGACTTTCGGCAGGGAATGGTGCTGTCACCAAATGTGGCAAGAGCTGTGTACAGAGGATCTGAGAAGGTGGTGGTGAAAATAGTGGACATGTCTCAACCAGGTTCAAAGCTAGGTGCTGCTATGTTGTTTGTTCGGGAGATCCTCATGTATTCCAGGCTCAAATCCATGCAGGGTCGTGGAGTTCCCAAGCTCTTAGAGTATGGCGTCCTCAATGGGGATATGTTCTCAGTGATTGTCATGTCCGACGAAGGTGATAGCACTCTTCCTTCCCAAACATATCCCCATCTCAAAGAGCCTGCCACAAGGGTGTTGCGAGAGATCTACCAGTGTGGTGCTTATCATGGAACTTTTGAGGCATCAGATGTTGTGGTCTCTGTGGACGGTGATCTGCCACCCAAAGTTAGCATCGTGGGCTTCTCCTTGGGCGGCATTGTCTCGATTGAGCATAATCCTTGGAAGGATGAGCTGAGTTGTGTCATGTCAACTATCGGGATCACAGAGGATTCATCATCGGAAGAAGATGGCGCTGAGGATGTGGAGGAAGGCCAGAGTGAAGATTACTATTCTAGCGTGGAAAGCCCCTATAGGTAGTTCTTGCTAGATTTCATTGAGTTGAATTCACTAGTTTTTCTTGGTAGATTTCATTGAGTTGGATTTGCTCTTGCACGGCACACTGTACATCGATCTTCTGTTATGAAATGGGGATACCCAGCCTTGTGAGCGCAGCAGCGCTCCATGCTGGGTCCACCTTTATTGCGGAAGACGGATCAAGAACAGAATGTGTCGGGCGTGATCACCTACAGAACCTAAACGGATGTGTCCCTTCTGCTGACGTGGCATCCCAGCTTGAGATTGCGGCTTAAGTCCTCAACACTCCCACTCGAGCTAAGCTGGGATCAGCCTCGAGCAACTGTACACCAAGAGCTTGGACATGCTTGGAGAATGCAGCTAGGGGCAGAGCTTTTGTGAAAACATCTGCCACCTGATCTCCCGTCGCACAATACACTAGCTCCATTGTCTCCATGGCAACCTGCTCACGAATAAAATGAAACTGTACCTGTATGTGCTTGGTACGTCCGTGATACTTCGGGTTCTTCGTCAAGGCAATTGCTCCCTGATTATCACAGAAGATAATCGTTGGAGTCTTCTGTGGATAATATACTCCACTCAATAGTTGCCTCAGCCAAACACACTCTTTGGCTGCTAAGGTAGTGGCCACGTACTCAGCTTCGGTGCTTGATAGTGCAATTGTTGGCTGCCTTTTACTGCACCAAGTAACTGCTCCACTACCAAGGCTGAACATATAGCCTGAAGTGGACTTCCTCTTGTCAACTTCACCAGCCCAATCAGCATCTAAGTATCCAACGAGCTGAATACCCCTAGGCTGCTGCTTGTAAACAAGACCATAGTTGGCAGTCCCCTTCAAGTATCTGAAAATCCGCTTTACTGCTAACCAGTGCTGGTAGCCAGGATTTTCCAAGTGCTGTGAAACTGCTCCCACTGCATAGGCTATGTCTGGCCTCGTACACACCATCAGGTACACTAAGCTTCCCACCATCTGCCTATATGGGATCCGCTTCATATGTTCCTCCATAGGTGTGGTTGCTGGGTTCAGCTCACTGAGTTGAAACCTCTGAAGCACGTCCAGAATGTACTTCTTCTGAGACATCTGAATCACTCCCTTCCTCCTGTCTCGGAAGATCTGAATGCCAAGGCAGTAGTGAAGAGGTCCCATGTCAACCATCTTGAATCGGCACCCCAAATCCAGCTTCAACTGCTTCATGGTAGCACCTTCACTTGAGAAAAGGATGCAGTCATCCACATAGAGAGCTATCATGGCTCGAAATTCTCCCACTCGCTTCAAGTACACGTTACTGTCAGCTGAAGTCTTGGAGAACCCCAAACCCAAGAGATAAGCGTCCATTTTCTCGTACCAGGCCCTGGGTGCTTGTTTAAGGCCATATAAAGCCTTCTTCAACCGGCACACTAAATGTTCCTTCCCTGGAACAACAAAGCCCTCTGGTTGCGAGATAAAGACCTCCTCATGTAGATCTCCATTCAGAAAAGCTGTGGTGACGTCCATCTGCTCGACTTCCAAGTTTTCTTGAGCAGCAATGTTCAGCAACATCCTGATCGATGCATGTTTCACCACTGGTGAAAATGTTTCTGCAAAGTCCACTCCTTCTACTTGAGAAAATCCTCGAGCTACAAATCTGGCCTTGTAACGATCAATAGAGCCATCTGGCTTATACTTGATCCGGAACAGCCACTTTGTACTCACGATTCTTCTGCCTGTAGGAAGCTCCACCAAGTCCCACGTTTCATTTTCCATCAAAGATTGATACTCTAGGAAAATTGCATGCTGCCACTCTGCTGCATTTGGACCAGCCAAGGCTTCTTGCAGGGTCTTGGGTACTGTGGCTTCTGCTTGGTGAAAGAGTGCTAGAAAGTCGAGTTCCATGTCCTCAGAAGGAACTTCCTCCTGCTGCTGGGACGGTGAGCTTGCAGCATAATAAAATGCTGCTGAGGTTACTGGAGGTGGCTCAGATGCACTGCGATCACGAGCTGCTCTGGCTTCAACTCTAGAAGCCTCAAGAGCCTGCTTTAATGCCACATCCTCTCTGTACTGCTGTCCTTGTTCAGTCAAGACACGAACACGACTGGATCTACGAGGTGCTGCTGCTTCCTGCTGCTGGCTGCTTTCCTGCTGCTGGCTGCTCTCACTAGAGCTGCCTTCCTCGAAATTGAGAGAAGGTGAGAGATCTGAGACACTCCTTGGAAGAGTTCGGCCTGCCCTGGGAGGAACTTGAGCCACGACTCCACCTCCACCTGTAGCTGCTCCGCCTGAGTGTGCACGCTGCCGTCGAGAGGCATCTTCCTCCTCGCTGTCGCTATCCTCAATTAGGGTTTGCTTACCACTAATGAGTAACGGCATCTGCTGCGAGGTGGTTGCTAGCTGGTTCTTGGTGTTGTACATCTTAGACTCGTCGAAGATGACATTCCTGCTCGTGATCACCTTCCTGGTGTTCAGGTTGAAGAGCTTGTAACCCTTCATCTTGCTTGCATAGCCAAGGAGAATGCACTTCTCACTTCTACTGTCCAGCTTCTTGGGCTCGTCCTTGAGTGCATAAGCTACACACCCAAAGATCCTGAGATGGCTCACGTCTGGTGCCTTCCCATACCACACCTCATAAGGTGTTCGTCCCTTGACAGCAGAAGTAATCAGCCTATTCCTCAAGTAGGCTGCTGTCTTCACAGCATCACACCAAAAGAAATTTGGCATGCCTGCATCTTGCAAGATCGCTCGTGCCATCTCCACAAGAGTTCGGTTCATCCTCTCAGCCACGCCATTTTGCTCAGGAGTTGAAGGCACTGAAAGTTGCCGCTTAATTCCAGCTTGCTCACAGAACTCCTTAAAGGCGTTAGAGGTGAACTCTCCACCACCATCACTTCTCAGCATCTTGATTTTTCTGCTTGTCTCAAGCTCCGCTTGCAGCTTGTAGACCTTGAAAGCTTCAAAGGCCTCTGACTTGTGCAGCAAAAACTTCACTGCTACCATCCTTGAAAAATCGTCGATGAATGTGACAAAGTATTTCTTCTTTGTCCTTGACATGGTCTGCATTGGGCCACATAGATCAGAGTGTACCAGCTCCAGGACATCCTTCCCTCTTTCACTTACACCTGAGCGAAATGGAAGGCGATGCTGCTTACTGAGGACACAAGGCTCACAAAATCCAGCTGATGATGGAGCAATGTTCAGTCCTCGGACAAGTTGTCCTCTTGCTAGCTGCTGTACTCTCTTGATGGAAGAGTGGCCTAATCTCCTGTGCCAAGTGTCTAGTGTAGCTGGTTTGTCTTCCACGCTGCTACTGAGCATTAACCTCTCAGGATACACCACTTCAGCATTCAGGCAATAGAGCCCGTGTGAAGAACGATCCTGAAGATGGGGAGTGTGCGCGACGCCATAGAGATCTTTGATGGCAAGGATTTCAGCGGATGGCAGGAGCAACTCGAGTACT